TGAAGAGGATTCTTATTATCCTTAACAGGGTTTGGGTCCAGCCATAGGATGTACAAAGAGCAGTCGTACAAATGAATAGCTAGGACTGGGATGTGTAGTCGTGGATGGTTATGGCTGTGGTAGCCTATGTATCGCTTTGTGCAGTGATAATAAACCCAGCTTTTCCTATAAGGCCTGCAGTAGAGATGGGTTAGTTAACTGATGCAATTCTACACTGGGCGTAACTATGTTAACTTTGGAGGAAGGAAATGACTGGTATATTTGCTCTGTTGTTTCACTTGTGTTCTTACCCGAAACTTAAGGATGTGTTTTCACTTGACTTACTCTTCCCTCCCTCTTTCCCCCCACCCCCGTCAGTGGAGAGGCAGAAACTATCAGAATCACTTGCCCTCTACTAAGAAGAATTATTAGCTGGTTAAAGTACTGAGCTGGAACTGAGGAAATCTGGGTTATATTCCTGGCCCTGCCACAGACTCTATGGATGACCTTGGACGAGTCACTTAGTCACTTTGTACTTCAGTTTCCCAAATCTATAAAACAGGAGATAACACTTCCTTTTCCCCACCCTTTGCCTGTCTTGCCTGTTTAGAGTTCAAGCTCCTTGGGGCAGGGTGTGTCTTTTACTGTGTTTGCGAAGTGCCAGCACAGTGGGACTCTGGTTTCAATATGCGACTTTAGGCGTGTTTGTATTAAAATAATAATAAACGGATAAAATGGGCTATGAGGCCAGTTTCAAGAGTGTTCTAAGCTGTAGCTGTAGCAGTCTCCAGGTGATCTGGCCCATTCTCCAAAGGATCCTCTCTTTGTACTTTGAGGCAGAAATATTAGAACATCCCAAAAAACTAAGCAGAAGATCCAAGGTTTAAGATTAATTTGAAGTTTAAGGCCCCTTTAACTAAAAATTGTATCAACTTCAAAATGGAGCAGTGATTTTTGCCTTGTTTAATAATGTATAACCTGCAGGTGAATGTTCTAGTTGGTTCTGAGCATGAATCACGACATTCAGGTAGGGCTCGTCTACATTGGCCCCTTTTCCGGAAGGGGCATGTTAATTTCAGCCATCGTAGTAGGGAAATGCGCGGGGGATTTAAATACTTTGAAGGAATAAGATCCTCCGGAAAAGGGCGCTTTTTCCGGAGGATCGGGGCCAGTGTAGACGCTCTTTTCCGGGTTTTCTAAAAGCCGGGTTTATTTAAATGCTGCGGGGGATATTTAAATCTCCCCCGCGCATTTCCTTACTACGATGGCTGAAATTAACATGCCCCTTCCGGAAAAGGGGCCAGTGTAGACGTAGCCGTGATGTCTGAAAAAGCCAGCCATACGTATCAGCTTTCCCAGGGCTTCCTTAGCACTGCTCCCATCCTATGGGATGATGTAATTGTTTCCATTTTGTATATTTGTCTCCATGGAGACTTAGAAATCACAAAGTATAGATAGTGGGTGTGTTGTTGATCTAACCTTCGATAAGGCCGGGTATACCAGCAGTCTGTCTAAAGCAATAGCCTATAACGTAACAATCTCGAGTTCGAGACGGCTGAACTTTGTTGGCTTTTGGTGACCTTCTGTTTCTCTTTGTTTAGCAGGCATTACTGCATGCTTATGGAATGCGTTAGGAAAGTCAGAGAGGATGTGGAAAGCCAAGTGGACTTTTTGCTTCCCACCAGCAAAAAAAAAAAAATGTTCCAAATTTCTACTCTGCTTTCAAAACATGAGAGAGGCTTTTGGAAGGAGGAGAAAAGAGTACGGTTATGTGAAGACACTCCAATCCTCAATAGTCATGATACATGCTGTGTCTCTATCTCTGAGAGAGACTAGAGATCAGACAGATTGATCCATGAATTGGGACCAGTGAGAGAGTTGGTTACAATAACTTTTGTTTTTGAAATTGCTACCTCTTTGGCTTAAAAATACATCTGTGTTCTGTGCTCTTAAAAGCATAGGCTCACAGCTAGCACTGTGTGGGGGGGTGCATGCTAGCAGCGATGGGTTTGAGATGAGAAGTTTGGCTCCAGATCTAAACAATCCCTCCCAGTGAATCTGGAGCTCATTGTATCTGAGATCTGGACTTGGACCCATCTCTATTGTAGAGTAGATGTAAACAGTGGACACCGAAAAATGTTAATCTTCTCTTAATTGGAGCAGATGTCTAGGTGCAGTGTCCAGTTCAGCCAGACCCAGGTGCTAAAAAATCACAAGCTTCAGAGGGGTAGCCGAGTTAGTGTGAAACAGGAAAACCATAAAAAACAACAAATAGACTAGTAGCACCTTAAAGACTAACAGAATGTGTATAATGAGCTTTCGTGGGTATAACCCACTTCTTCAGAAGACGTGAGTTGTGCCCACAAAAGCTCATGTTTTCTTAGTCTTTCAGGTGCTACTAGTCTATTAAAAAAATCACAAGGTTAGTTTCAGAGTACCAGAAGAGCTTCACAGTGCTGTGTTCTCATTTGCCTTGTGGGTTTGGAGCCTTTGTGATGGAAGTGGGCATATTTTACAGTTTTTCTTCACAATCACAAGGGCTAGAAACTTTTGAAATAAAAATTGAGTCTCACATAGCCCCCAACTCCACCAGCCGGGCCTGTAAGAAGCACCAAATGTCACAAGACTCTCTAAGATCAGGAGCATCGACAACACCAAGGAACTGAAATGGGGTTTTCTCACTTTGGCCCACAGCTGGAATGCAGCAGCA